AGTTGCCTGGGGAATTCATGAATAATCCATCCCTTGTTTAACATGTAATCAAGAAAGAACCATAAAAACGGACAAATGGCAGATCATACCTCTGCTCTGCCTATGGAGTAGCCATTTTTTATACTTTTACTTGTGTAATAAACTTGCTTTCATTTCACTCTATGGATCTGCTGTGAATTGGGGCCCCTTTCTGGTAACATTTCTGTTGTTATTGGTTTTCTAAGCAGAAAACTCCAAGATGGGATGAAAGTTCCCTGAATTTTTGTAAGAAGTACACTCACCCATTGAGAAATGCACAGCGGGTGGGATGAGGCTGTGAAGTTGATAGCACATGAGGGAAGCCTGACCCTGAGTGAAGGAGAGAGGGAGGGAGGATTGGGTGGAAGTTTCCTGTATTACTGTGCTGTGCAAGGAAGGTGCAAAACATTTAAGTCTTGTGCAAGTCAGTGCTACCTTGCAGGGATCTCTGCAACTCTCCGAAATGGCTCTGCTTACGAGTCACTGTGGAGTCAGTCCTTTCATTAGAGTGGACCACAGGACATGGGCCTCAGCACATGCCATGCCACAGGTGTCAGAAAGCAGCTGCTGGGATCCGGATCCACGTACATTTTGCTGCCTGTAGGAGGAGGCAGGGAGGTGCATTTCAGGGTCAGCACACTGCTTTTGGATTTTTATAGAAAAGACCTGCTTTTACTTTATTTTATTGGAAAATATATAAATGTACACCTGTAAACATTGTAATTTTCATATTTATTTTAATTGCATTCATTTTTAATTCTGCATTAGTTCCTGAAACAGTGTTGCATTTTTATAGGTATTATTCAATGTATTGGGAACATGAATTTTCCACTTTCACTGTTTTTTCTCCATTTGCAGAGACCTTGAGTAGAGCATGTCTGGTGCTTACCCACACTATCCCTTTTGTCCCCTGGGAAGGAGCAGACACTTGTCTGACTGCAGAATCTAGGGTAGGAGTCTGCACACCTCAGAGCCTACAGAGAAACCCAGTGAATTTCTCTGAAGACAGAATGCTGTCCCACGTGGGGGAACCTGTGGCTTTCCCACTGCCAGACATTGCTGCTCAGCTGTCATCGAGAGGTTATCAACTAGAGCACTTGGAAGCCCATCTCATCACAGCTTCATTATGTAACTTGCCACCATTAGACTGCAGGTAATAACTCAGTCTTGATTTTTCTGACCATACTCACCTTATTCATTTGTAAGTTTGGTTATAGAAATGTTATCTTTTTAGTTCATGATTCAAACCTTGGAATTTTATGAACAATAAGCAATAATACAACATGTGTGCAGTTTAGAGGCAATGTAAATGAATGTCCATACAGTTTTTTTTTGTGTGTGGATATTTCAGTCAATGAACATGATTTCTGAATTGTATAGTTGAACTACAATTAGATTTGCTGAAAATTGCCTGCAGTAATGCCTGTGAGGCTGACCCTGTCACCTTGCTATGAGAATGCTCAGTGCACAGGTGAGGTCACACAAGAGAAGTCCAAGGGCAGCTCGCAGGCCTGGTGGAACTCCTGGCCAGGACCAAGACGTAGGGTTGGGTATCTCAGAAGGAGATCCCCAGATCTCTTTTAGCTGGACTTGATAGGCAGCAGAGGACCAGAAGGAGATGCTCAGAACTCAGCCCCAGTTAGGAGCAGGTGCAGTGAGGAACCAGCCAGAGAACCTCTGACTACAGTATTGGATTGTCTTCCTTTGCTTAACAGCATCCAACCTTAAGGAGACCACCCAACATATCATCTGTAACTCGCAACTTTCTTGTTCCAAAGCAAAACCGAGGTAAATATGACTCTGAAGTTAACTCCTTGAACCTGGGTTATTTTTCAGAGTATGACATCATCTACAACTTGATGGTTCTTATGTCAAAATCAACACGCATATTTAGTCAGCATGAAGACTATGTTTTATCTCATGGTAAAAATGTTTAACTAATAATTACTTTTTATGGGAAAGCACCTGTATTAGTTCATTTTCACATTGCTATAAATATATCACCTGAGACTGGGTAATTTTAAAGCCAAAAGGTTTAATTGATTCACAGTTCTACGTGGCAGGTTAGCCTCTGGAAAGTTACAATCATGGTGGAAGGTGAAAGTGAAGCAAGTACCTTCTTCACAAGGCAGCAGGAGAGAGAGAGAGAGAGAGAGAGAGAGAGAGAATGAGAGGGAGGAGAAAGAGCCACAAACTTATTAGACAACCAGATCTCCTGAGAACTCTGTCAGAAGAACAGCATGGAGGAAACCACTCCCACGATCTAATCACCTTCCACCAGACCCCTCACCTGGGGTTTACAATTCCAGATGAGCTTTGGGTGAACACACAGAGACAAACCATATCAGAATTTCTAGGTGGGAATTGTTCAATTTATAAATTATGAGTGAAGTATAAGAAAAATAAATGGTGCCCGTGTGGTAGTTATCCAGTTCATCTATAAAACATCTCAATATTCATTTTATGAGAGGTCTAGGACAAGTTTGAGGTAGGAAGGAAGGTAGGTAGGTAGGTAGACAGAGAGACAGTTCTACCAAATACTGTAAATATATATTACTATATATAGTATAGAAATAGAAATCATATTTTATATAGTATTTGGCAGAATTAATATCACACCTAATTTTATATATATCTATATGTAAAATCACCTGTAGGGTAGAGGATCTGGAGCACTATCTGGGAGAGGCACGGTGAGACTCTAAGAGTCCACCCTCACATACAGCTTCCGGTTCTTAAAACAGGAGTGTCCCTCTGAGATACTTGAACCCTTTCTTCTGCACCAAGGTAGAGCCTGGTATATTTTTATTATGATAGAGGCAGGGCATAAAAACAGTGATAAGAAGCTTTCTAAAGGCTGTGACTTGATTTGCAGTCAAGTGAGAATAATTTCAATCCTAAAGTTCATATAAATTGTTAGATGTTTCATGGTAAGTAACTAACAGAAAGCTGACTTCTCCATGAGAGCAATATACAAAACAGTAATCCACTCCTTTTAACAGAGAGAATAAGAAAATCCATAATGTAAGAATCAGCAGCTGGGCACTGCGGCACTGTGTGTAGTTCCATTTACTTGGGAGTTTGAGGTAAGAGGATCAGTTAAGTCCTGGATTTTGAGCCCAGCCTGGAAACGTAGCGAGACTCCATTTCTTGAGAAAACAAAGAAAAAAACAGTAATATTTAGGGGTCAGGACAAACCTCAAAAACTGCCCCTGAAAAGAAACCCGGATTTAATTGCATCAGATTGTTGATCAATTTATGTTACAAAACAGCATCACTATGCCAGAAATGAGCAGAGCGTACCATCTAGGTGGTATGCTAAGAGACACCAACGGTCAAGAAGGAAACTCGGGTAACTAGGCTCTCAAAGACAACTCTGCCAAATGACAGCGTTTCCATGGAAACTGCGTGCACATCCAGGACTGCACCTGTCAGCGATGACATCATACCCTCACAATGTTGAGGAAAGAGACCTCACTCAATCAGACAGGCCAAGGGACTTCAGAAATATATAAGGGAAAATACAGTGTGCAAATATGCAAAAATGAAATAAGATGACGACTGCTAAATGAT